GAAATCTCGCTTCGCCAAAAAAATAAAAAAAAAATAAAAAAAAAACACGAGCTAGCGACTCCCGGTCACTCTAGCTCTCTTAGTAGACTCCCTTTACGGTCATCTACTCGGCAATTCGAACTACGCATGGCTTGATCCTCCTCTGAGCTACTAGGCAACCCTAACCGGTCCAGCTATAACCCCCCCCCCCAAAAAAAACCGAGTAAATGCGCTCTTCAGCCACTTTACTCGTCAGGTGGATGAACTAACAACGTTCACTTCTGTTCGATAAAAACGAACTACGGATGGCTTGATCCTCTTCCGAGGTACGTAGGCAACCTTAATCGGTCCAGCCATAACCCTAAAAAACAACACCATCGCGATGCCTGCACCCCAACTTCCCGATACAAGTAGGAATCGCGGAACGCGCACCGGCACTCGTACAAATTCGTCGAATATGCCCTTATCAGGCATATTAAACGAGCCCTGTCAGTCAAAGTCGGCTCCGACTGATCGACGAAGAGATGACCAAGTTCGGTTTCATGATAACTCCTAGAGTGGGGATCGGCCGACCTAAACTCTACGAATTTGCTTCGCGACAACTCGAAACCCTTGTCGGCCTAACTAAAAATATAGTCTCGGACATTGCTGCATAGTCAAGGTCATGACTAACCGACGTGCAATGGTCGAACAATACAGCTAAGCTAAAACTCGGGTAACAACTCTAATACCCTGGGCAATAGCCCGAGCACGAGTTTGCCAAAATTGGAACAGGATTCACTTTGGAGGTCGACGAATTCTAAAGAACCCTTTAAGTTTAACAACTCACGAGATGAGCGTTCGCTTTACTAAAAGTCCTAAAATCAATGAAAATACGCTAAGGAGAACATCCTAGCTAAACCGAAAGTTCACAGAGATAAAAGCCTCCGAGGCAAACGTCGAAACAGATTAAAAGTTTAACAAAAAAAAAAGCAACAACAAAGTAAAGAGCGACCCCACACCCGGAGCAAACAAGAAAGAAAAAACTCATGACTACAAGGCAGTTATTCTTTAGGCACCTCGACCTCGTCGTCACCATCACGAGTGTTTATCTCTCTCGCCACAGAGGCATTGGTTGCCGAGGCTGCATGACCGGTGCTCAGACGCTCCTCCAAGTCCTCCTCGTTAGCTCTTGCCTTGTCGCTCTCGAAAGGCCTTTCCCCGCTCTTTTCGGAACCTTCAAAATCCGATTCCTCGTGCCCCCCGGTCGTGTCAGATACTTGCACCACGCGGTTTGAACGAGCAGGGGAGTGCAGCCAAGCTCTAGCCTCTGGATCGAGTTGGGCGAAATTCGACCCGTTCGGATCAAAGTCGACCGGAGGAGGTTTGTCGTAGCCAGCAATAATGTAGGGAAGAACAGTCTCGTCGACGTACTATGAGCTAAGAACAAGCGGTGACAAGGAATAATTCGCCTGATCAGGCGACCCGGGATAAAGCTTCTCGGCCTTCGCCTCCTGAAACTTCTCTTCTTCGAGGAAGGAGTCAATTTTCTCCTGAGGAATCGCCTCCCCATCCTCCTTGAGCATTTCCAAGCATTTCTGAGTCCCAAAAGCCTGGCTCCAAAGACATCGGGCCTCATCGTACGCATCCTTCGCCTCGCGGGCCTTAATCCGTTCGAAGCGAGCATTTGCTTTCTTGACCTTTTCTTCCCAAGTCTTCGCTCGCTCACGGGTAGCCTCAAGCATCCGAGACCTTCTCAGATGTTTGGCTTCGTCTTCTCCTACTTTGGCGACCTCGGATATCTTGAGTTCGAGCTAGGCCTTCTCCTCTTGGAGCATGTCAGACGAAGCCTTCATGGCCTTAAGTTCAGTAGACATATCTTCGCACTCCTTTGCCTTGGCCTGGGCCCGATGCACCGAGTCGGCCCAGGCAGATTCGGCATCCTCGAGGAGAGCCTCGAGCGCGGCAGTGCGCTTTCGTTCAGCACCGTTCCTGAGCCTCGCCAAGACCAGCATAGGCCGCTTTAAGCTTGGTATCGTACATACTGACTAGCGAGTTGACACCGTCGTCGGCCTGTAAGTAGGGAACCCGTCAGTCAGAACGTAAAAAAGCGAAACAAGTTAGTGACTCTTAAGGGGAGAAAACTTACGGCCTCTTTTAATCGCGCGACCTCCAGGTAAGCATCGCGGAAAAACAATTCTCCAACTGCCGGAAGCAATCTCGGATCCTGAGCCGCGGTCTCTACATTTAGACGATCCGCATCTGACTAGGCGGCACCTCCGTCTCAGTAGGAAATTCTTTCTCCCAATCGCATGTCCGAGCAGCGGCGTGAGCAACACGATATACAGAGAATTAATAAAGTCAAAGGAGATCTTCGTTACCTCGGTTGATGCGGTCTATTGCACGCTGAATTCTTTCCTCGCTGATATCGGGCCACTTGTGATGGCCTAACTCAACCAAAGCTCGGGCATTGGAAAAGAACGACGGTGGGACAGCAGCATCGGTCAAGTAAAAGTTGGGATGAGGATATGCACACAAAAAAAGAGGTCAGACTGGACACAGGTTAGCAACGATCGAGACGAGCTAACTACCGGCTACACCGTTCCAATAAGTCCTAAACTCGTCGCCCAAAGGGTCAACGAAGGCGTTGTGATCCAATTTGATGAAGAAGTAACGACACTGCCAACCCGGAGTCTTATCCGGATGGCTGGTAATAACGTTGTAGCTCTGCCTCATTCTGACAGAAAAGAGACCAACACGACCCAAATGAAACACCGTCGTCAGCTGCTCAAACGCGTATACGCACAAGCTTATCCCGATCTTAGCCGCCATGACCATGAGTGCAACCTTGATGCGAAATGACCCATTCACCATCTGACTGATGGCAACTTCGTGTCGGGAAACATAGGAGGTTAGCAGGCGGGGAATCGGAAACCAGAGCCTAGTGTGATCCCCGAAATAAGATTCATACACACACTGATAGCCAACTGGCGGCGACCACGGGCGATGCTCGGAGGTCGGGATCAGATAGGTTGCCCCAACCGCGTTCCGGGCTATAAGCAGGTTTTCGACTGTCTCCACAGTCGACTCAGTCTTGAACGTGTTCGCCCACTCTTGACCAGTGACTTTAGCAGGACGCAGCGACTCCCGCGGGATCTCGAGTCCTCTCTCGAAAATCCCATTTCTCGAGTACCGAGTCGGAGCCGGGGGAAGACTTTTGTCACTCACTCGCTTCGCGTTATCTGATACATACCAAACTGACGACGGATGATCAGGGTCCATCTGTCGAGACCGGTTAGAACTTGATCGTCGAGATCTACCGGAGTTCCCTCGTTGAGATCGGCCAGAATTTGTTCTCAACGACCTAGGCTGCGACGATCGAGGCTGTTCAAACCGAGGGTCACCCAGCATCAGTGCCGCGGAATTCCCCGCACCGTCGCCTCTCAGTATCGACGATCAGAAGTCGCTGAGAAAGACTGAGACCAACCACATCCATCAACACGTTCCTATGCTCTAATTCAAAGTTTTCCAAGGGCTCGTTGGTTGTCTCGTCCCTACCAGGGCTTGACGAGGTCACGATGTCCTTCCCCTTCTCCTCGCGTGACAGTCTTCCCCGCGGACACATCTTACCGGCGGCAAATGTTTATATCGTGAAAAGAGATCTAGAGAGAGAAAGTAGAGAGAAGGGAGAGATCGATTACTTATAGCGGCGAAGAAAATGAAGATGAGCAAGTAAAGAGGAGTATATATATAAGAAGAAAGGCGCAACTCCCGGGGGCATTAATTAGGTCTACTAAGGCCTAATTGGGCTTATAACCCTCGCGACTGTCCATGTTCAGACTTAAATGGGCCTCAATTTCCAAGAAACCCTTATTTCCTCGCGATTGTTCATGTTCTCTCGCGCGCAAACCCGTCTGCGCCGAGTTCCGAGCTAACGGCAACAAACGCATTAGAGCCGAGCTCCGAGCTAACGACAACAAACGCGTCAAAGCCGAGCTCCAAGCTAACAGCGACAAATACACATTAATCGACCCTATTATTCAATGGATCAAACCAACAAAATCCGTCCCGACTTAAGGCATAAACTCGGCAACGGATCTGGGGGACTTACTGTAGGTGATGGAATCCCCCCCCCTTTTATAAGGCCCGCTGAATAATGGGTTCAACTTGTATGGGCTCCGGCCTGACGAGGCGACATTCTTGTGATTAGCAACTAATCGAGTTTAGCTCGGATAATCCCCGAGGTTAACCAGGTTAACAACATTTAAGGCGAGGCACTCGCCTTAGCGGGCCGATCAGGGCCCATTTGGTAAAAGCCTTCCTCACGAGCGACCGGCTAGCTAGGTTAGACGAAGAGTGCTATAAAAAGAAGGGAGAAGGCAACAAGGAGCGGATCCGAAATCACTTTCACTCATAAGGCAGCTAGAATTAGGGTTTTCACTCTTGTACTTTCTTTCTGACTTGTACAGCACGGCTGAGCTCTCCGCGAGACTCCGCCTCGCATCTCCTTTCCTTATTTGTAACCGAACTCCTTCATTAATAAAACCACTCTTCGACTCTACATAGTAAAGAACGCCTTTGAAATAACCCACAGACGAGTCTAGTCACTCACTGAAAAGACCGAACTCGGTTCGAACACTTCACAAATTATGTTAGAGTAATATATATCCACAAAATGACGGATTTATTATTCATTTTAAACCGACTTCCGATGAGATGACAAACTATGGTTTGAGAAGCCTCAAAACGTCAAGACAGTTCTAGTTTTGACTGTCTTTCGGTTTATGCAAGTGAAGAAGAAAAGAGAACATATAACTAAAATAATCTTGCTTAACAGAAAAGGATAGAGTTATACATAAGAAGAAGAAGAAGAAAAAATTGATTGTTTGTTGGCAAAAAAAAATCGATTGTTTGTTGACAAAAAAATCGACTGATTCAGACAACTTTTTATGTTAGATGGATGGACTCGATCATATCTGATACATCTCCAAGCTAAATCTCTATTCCCAGTAGACCAGAAAACGAGAAAGCAAAAACAAGTTCTATTGATTCTTTTTAATAGTGGGAGTGAATGATGACGATAATTTAGAGCTCTGAATCTGATCATCTTTAGATGTTTTGATTATAAACAGAAGCGTTTCCACAAGCATCGCCAAAACTAGTCCAAGAATCCCACCAGCAGCACTCTGAAATCCAAATCAACCAATGATTCAAAAAATCACACTTAATCCTGAAAATGTTTACAGAATTTGACGAAATGATTAACAAACAAAACATACCAGACCGGGGTTATGGTTGAACAAAGCTCTGAATGAAGCGTAGCCAACCAGATATCCTCTAAACATGGTAAGACAGACGTGTAAACCTACAGAAACAAGTTTAAAAAAAAAACTCGAAATCTTCATTCTTCAGTGACCAATAAAAATTATCAAGAAATGAGCAAAAATGCTTTACCAAAACCGAGCTGGTCTTTGTAAGAAGAGAAAGGCTCTTCGACTTGTTTCCTAGGTGTTATATCTTTAACAAGCTCAGCATACTCCTTCCTCTCCGCTATTTCTCTCAGCTTAAGCAATCTCAGCTTCAGTTCTTCACTCTACCAAGAACAAAAAAAAACAGATCAATTAAAACATAAATCTCACAAAGAAACAAAAAACATCCTCGAACGCATTCAACATAGAAAGAGTAACGATCTTTCCTTAATTGTGCTTTGATTGCTCTCATTAATCAAACAGAAATGCATATTTGGGTTTCAATATGAATTGGATTGTTTTCATCCCTAGTAATGTTCCATGAAACCCTACCAAATTATGATTCCTTTATTGTCCGAAACAAAATCTAACTATAACAATTTCTGCCGGATTCTAGCCACACTGAAATGTCAAATTTCGAGCTTTGTATACCTTTTCCCTTGGTTTGGGACTGTTGAAGACGAAAGAGGAGCTGGAGAACAGTCCCAGCAAGTCGGGTCTGGTCGAAGGATCGGATCATGTCCATATAGCACGGAGAAATTTGTACAGAACGGTGTTCGTTGAGCGCAGATCAGAAGCGATGTCTCTGAGTTCATCGGAGAGACGATGATCATCGCAGGCCAACGCCAGAACCGACCGCATCGTTTCAGTGGCGGAGAGAATCAGGCCAAAGGCATTTCTCGGGTCGGGTTAATCCATATTTTTGGTCGGATTCAGACCGTTATTGTTCGAACCAAGTTCGGTCTTTTCAATGAATGAGTGGCTGGACGCGTCTGTGGGTTATTTCAAAGGCGTTATTTACTATTTAGAATCCAAGAATGGTTTTATTAATCAGAGAGTTCAGTTACAAATGAGGAAAGGTGAGGTGAGGCGGAGTCTCGCGGGGAGCTCAGCCGTGCCGTACAAGTCGGAAAGAAAGTACAAGAGTGAAAACCCTAATTCTAGTCGTCTTGTGAGTAAGAGTAATTTCGGATCCCCCTCCTTGTTACCTCTTCTTTCCCTTTTATAGTGACAATGCCTTGACCTAACGAAAACGTCGCAGGTTCGGAGGCCTTCTGCCAGATGGGCCTCGATCGGCCCGTGAAGGTGAGCATTCTGCCATAACGTCCTTAACTCGGCTAGTCACGGGGATTATTCGAGTTAATCTCGATTATCTGTCGATCGCGGCTGGATTACCTCGTCGGGCCGGAGCTCGTATGGGCCGGGCCCATTGTTCAGTGGGCCTTGTAAAGGGGAGTATTCCACCACCAACAGTAAGCCCCCCAGACTCGTTCCCAAGTTAAGACTTGAGTTGGGACGGGTCTTGTCTACTTGGTCTATTTGAATAATGGGTTCGACCAATGAGCTTCTATGCTCCGACTTCGCATGTTTATCGGGTCGTTAGCTCGGAGCTCTATGTCGATGTGTTCCATGAGTCGTTAGCTCGAAGTTTAACTTCAATATGTTTTCGAGTCGTTAGCTCGGAGCTCAACTCGGTGTGCCTCCTGAGTCGCTAGCTCGGAACTTAACTTCAGTATGTTTGTCGAGTCATTAGCTCGGAGCTCGACTCGACGTGTCTTCTGAGTCGCTAGCTCGGAGGATCCTCAGGTTCTCTTTCGCGTAAAAAGGGGGTGTGTACAGTTGAAGGGACGCGAACGGTCTTTTAGATGTCGAGGCCAATTTAGGTCGGAATGTGAACAGTCGCAAATAGAATAAAGGCCCAATTAGGCCTCAACAGACCTAATTAATGACTTCGGGAATCGCACCCCTTCTCTTCCTATAAATACTTCTCTTTTCTCTCATTATTATCACTTCCCCGTTTCTTTTCACAGGTAGTTCTCCTCTCCCTTCTCTCTACTTTCTCTCTCTAGGCTTGTTTGTAAGATATATATGTTTGCCGTCGGTAAGATGTGTCCGCGAAAGAGATTGTCGCCCGAAGAAAAGGGGAAAGGGATTGCTACGACATCGAGTCCTGCTCGGGATGAAACAACTGGCAAGCCTTTAGATGATTTTGGTTTAGGGCATCGGGAAGCGCTGAGAGATTCGGCCGGTCTCGATCTGGCTCAGAGGTTGATGGTCGTCAACTCGAAGAGGAAGTTCAGAGGTGAAGACGACTGGAATTTCGCCACGGAGATAATGAATGATCCAATAGTACCGCGTCTCAGATCTCCGCCGTCTGGTCGATCTCGTCCTACTCGGTCTTGGCGAGCTCGGCATGCTCGGACTAATCGAGCTAGCGCAAACTCGGCAGAGGAAGATTCTCGTCCGAAGGTTCCTACGCATTACAGTGGTATGGGAGTCTTCGAGCGGAAGTCCGCACTTCCCCAAGAGATGCTTCGTCGTGCTGGTACTCAATTTTGGGCGAACGCCGGGAAGACGCACTCGACTGTGAAGTCGGTGGAGGCTTTGCTCGTAGCTTGCAACACTGTGGGTGTTACCTACTTGATCCCGACTGTTGATCAGTGGGCCTTGTAAAGGGAAGTATTCCACCACCAACAGTTATCAGTTTCATCTTTATGTTATAAGGCCAATTTTCTCACGCGTTCTGGAAAATCAATTTTGATCTCACGCGCGAATATAACACATGAGGCATGGCCTGCGTTTTGGGCTTTACTGAATCCTTTGGATCGGATATGAGTAGGGTTGGGTAATCCGGTCTAAAATTCGGATAAGTTTATTTGCTTAAAAATTCTACATTATATTATATAGGCGGGATATTTTTTTAAGAATTCTAAAGAAATTATAAAATTTTGAATATTTCATTGTTATTCTTTTATGGAGTTTTAAAATCTTACCAAAATCTATTTTATTTGTTTGAAAACTTTTAAATTCCTTTATATTTCTTATATTTTTATATGTACTAATAAACTTGGAAAACATCATGTGTATTTTATAGATTTGTTTTTATAGGATTTTGAAATCTATGTAATGAAAAAATACACATACAAAGTCAGAAACTAAAATAGTGTTCTGTGAGGGATAAAACTCACTTCCTGATTATAGGTTAGGTTTAGATTGGAGAAAAGATAATGTGGGCTTAATCCCGTTAGAACTTGTATGAATGAATACGTTTGTTTATATTGATTTTGATAAGAAAATGAGTTTACAAAGATGAACTTGATGATGAGAAGTACAAATATGAATTGAGATGATTACAATCAAGGAAAAGTGTTTAAGTCTTTAGGTCTAAAAAATGAGTCGAGGAGGATCCTTTTCTCTGATCTCCTCCTCCCTTAAATAGCTCTCAGCTACGTTTGAACGACCCTAACCAGCCTCCGAGATTTGCTCCGTGAGTTGGGGGATTCTCAACAGCCACCTTTTGACCGGGTCCTGCGCAACCAGCCTGAGCTACTCCTGTTATCTCTTTCTAAATGAGGTCCGGAGCTCTCCTCCGTGACCTGTTTTGTTGACGTCCCTTCCTTAGCAAACAGCCTCCGGCTTCTTTTTAACTCTTTTCTCAAAAGATGAATTGCCGATGGGCTTACAGTGGCCCATAGTCAACTCTTATCGCTCGAACCCATTAGTCTCAGCTAGCGGGCCATATTTGGGCCCAACAGTTGCCCCCAGCTTTCGAGATGAGACCTCTTTTCTCGGAAGCTAAAGCTCAACCGCCTGATCTCTATCTCTTTGTTGAGAGAGCGATTATGTCTTCGTGTTCCCAAGACTTCTGCCCAATGGGCTTTCTTTTTATCTTTGTTAAGACTTGTGGCCTGAGGAGGCTTTTAAACCCTTGCTTTTTTAGGATCTTCGATCTTCGTCGATGTTTTGATGAATTCCTTAATACGATCGTCTAAGTAGAAGTTTTTACTTCCTTGAACGAAGGATTCTGGGTCATGTTAGTAACATGTCCCGTAGTCGTTAAACATGAGGTCTAGGAAACTTTCGGGTAAAGGTCGGGGAGCCTGTTGATAACAAGTCCCGTAGCCTTTTAGCGAGAGGTCCCGAGAATGGGTTTCTGAGACCTGAATTTACTTGGGATATCTTTTAAATCTCAAACGCAGCTAAGGGTTTTGCGACCTTAGGTTGAGGTTTTTGGGAACCTGATTTTTTTTTTTGGATGGATTTTAAGACCTTGAGTTTGGTTAAGGTTTTAAGACCTTTGATTGAGGTTCTTTGGGAACCATGATTTGTTTTCGAAGGATTGTAAGACCTTGAGTTTTGATAAGGGTTTTAAGACCTTAGATTGAGGTTCTTTGGGAACCTGGAATTGTTTTTGAAGGATTTTAAGACCTTGAATTTTGTTAAGGGTTTTAAGACCTTAGATTGAGGTTCTTTGGGAACCTGGATTTATTTTCGAAGGATTTTAAGACCTTTGAGGTTACTAAGGATTTTAAGACCTTAGGTTTAGGTTTGTGGAAACCTGAATTAGCTTGTTTAAAGGATTTTAAGACCTTAGTGGTTACTAAGGATTTTAAGACCTTAGGTTTAGGTTTACGGGGACCTGAATTAGTTTGAAGGATTTTAAGACCTTAGGTTCAGGTTCAGGTTCACGGAGACCTGAATTCGTTCGAAGGATTTTAAGACCTTAGGTTCAGGTTCAGGTTCACGGAGACCTGAATTCGTTCGAAGGATTTTAAGACCTTAGGTTCAGGTTTACGGAGACCTGAATTTGTTCGAAGGATTTTAAGACCTTATGTTCAGGTTTATGGGGACCTGAATTCGTTCGAAGGATTTTAAGACCTTAGGTTCAGGTTCACAGAGACCTGAGTTCGTTCGAAGGATTTTAAGACCTTAGGTTCAGGTTTACGGAGACCTGAATTCGTTCGAAGGATTTTAAGACCTTAGGTTCAGGTTTACGGGGACCTGAATTAGCCTGAAGGATTTCAAGACCTTAGGTTCAGGTTTACGGAGACCTGAATTCGTTCGAAGGATTTTAAGACCTTAGGTTAAGGTTTACGGAGACCTGGATTGGCTCGAAGGATTTTAAGACCTTAGGTTCAGGTTTACGGGGACCTGAATTAGTCTGAAGGATTTTAAGACCTTAGGTTCAGGTTTACGGAGACCTGAATTCGTTCGAAGGATTTTAAGACCTTAGGTTCAGGTTTACGGAGACCTGAATTCGTTCGAAGGATTTTAAGACCTTAGGTTCAGGTTTACGGAGACCAGAATTCGTTCGAAGGATTTTAAGACCTTAGGTTCAGGTTCACGGAAACCTGAATTAGTTTGAAGGATTTTAAGACCTTAGACCCAGGTTCGTAGGGACCTGGATTTGTTTGAATTCGAAGTGTAAACCCGAGTCATGTACTGTGACTTTTTAAGTATGGGATTCATGTGATATTTCCGGAATCAGATCGCGGATCTTGTTAACAGCTGACCTTGTGACCTTAGAGGTCTCAGTGATTTCGATTGTGATTGGTCGTGAGATTATCATGAATGAGTTCCTGGATATTCGAGATTAGATTAAGATCTTTAGGGATCTAAATTCTTTCCAAAGAGCTTTTAAGGCCATTAAGGGTAGATTCACATAAATCTGGATTCGTTCGAAAGTTTTCAAGACTTCTGAATTTACTAAGGATTTTAAGTCCTTAGGTTCAGGTTCGTAGGGACCTGAGTTCGTTTGAGGGATTTTAAGACCTAAGGTCCAGGTTCGCTGTTGGTGTCAAAATCGGTCACGACGGAATCAATGGCTAAAAGTCTCCGCAAAAGTAAAAATAAAAATACGT